GTGCATGCTGGGTAAAGAGGGAGGGGGGAGCACAACATCTAGGGACTTTGTCCGTTCTCAATCTTATGTTCTTGTGAATTGGAACAGTACTAGGGCTGAGGCTGATGACGTTTTAGGAGCACATGAGAACGCACAAGTACACAGATTGAGAAACGGCCCCCATTATATATCATATAACAGAAAAAAAATAAAAACTCTTGACGTTTAGGTTTTTTAAAGCTATTCCATCATCAAGGTGGTATTTTCCTCGATTGACTGATGATTATCAGTAATTCTCCTGACTCAGCAGCAGCCCCTCACTGACCCGGTAAAGCGGAGGCCATTTAACGTAGAGTGGCGAGAAACCGCCTCCTCCAGGAAGCACCTACTTTACTGCACTGCGCCTGCACAGTAAAGGACACGCCCACTTTCTCTGATCAGCAAGCCTCTATATATCCACTCTAACCTGCGACCAACTGGCACTTTATGCTCCCCCCTTTTCTTTTTTATAAAAGGTTATTAACAATTCACTTCCTTGTTTTTTTATACGCTTAGATTTGTATTTCTAGTTCTGAAAGGACAGTTTTTATTCCTACAGTTGAATGTAATCATATCAATCATCAAATCATGGAGATCATCTGTTTTGAAGCTAAAACTCCTTAGATATGGATGCTCCCGCTGAAGCAGCTGGTAATGAATTATGTAACTGAATAATTTGATTTTATTGCCTAAAAAGTGTTTTATGCCAGAAAGACTTTTTCAGGAGCAGATTTGTTTTGCAGAAGAGCAGAAGTCACATCTGAGGCTCGTTATCGATGCATTTTATGGAGCTTTTAGTTTTGTTCAGAGGATAACTAAAGCTCAGATGACATGAATAAAAACAGAAAAGAGGAGTTTTACTGTCGAAAATATGAGCTCAGGCTTCTTAACTCAGGTTGATCAATTTAAGACTTTATGATTTTTAAAAATTCATTAAAACCTTGCTCATTTACTGAACTGCAGTCCATGCTAGCTTGCTGACTCCTGTTCATTACAGCCAAGCGTAACTTAAAGGTTTGAAATTAGTTTGCATTGCCAGCTTAAGTCACTCCAACTGATGGAAACGGGTCTAATTTAGCCTGGCCAGCCAGACTAGTTTACACGGCATATTACTCTGGGAAGGCTCAGGAAAGGCAGGAAACCAATGTGATGTAAAAACACCTTTATTTATGAAAGAAAAGCTCCAACAGCATGCAGTTATTAAAATTATAACCATATAAACAGCTCTATCCATAAATAATAAAGGGAATCATTAAAACGTTGCACTATTACAGCTGAATCTTGACTTATGGTTAAAGAGGCTGTTGCATCAAGGGCCCGCCTCCAACGGCCAGAGAGTATGAAGCTTTCCAAGTCACCCTGGCTGGTTAGGCAACGTTTAATTAGTGTATTTTTCTATTTTACATGATAAACCCACTAACTGAATGATGGAGAATGAAATATGATAATTCGTCTGTCCACCAAAGTAAAACATCACTACCTCCCCGTCTAGCTGAGTGGAGCTGAGGAGCCGCCGAGGATATAAACTCGATCAGGAT